TATTTTGCATAAATTCCGAGTTTTCGAAGACACCATGGAAACGAGAAAGGACTTGCAATACAATTAAATTGCTTTAGTACAGTATTTCGACATCATCATTATCTCGTAATAATTGACCCCAGCTTTTTCAAAAAGGCATGAACCTTCATCGTACAATCAATTCAGGCAATATAATTGATTCACAATACTGCATGATATTGTAGTGATGTCTGAAATATAAAAGATATTGAATACAAACTATTTTCTATTCAACCGTGGCAGAATTTAATAATTAAATTCAGATAGCTCAACGGTCAGTGTCTTGCCATGACGCACCTTGTCTGTTTCACTAGTTACGACTTTCCTGGCGTTCTCATTGAGACAAGAGCCTCAACATCATGTACCCGTAATAATATAATCAAGGAAATATGAATATATTTTCAAAATTTATTATTTTTTGATATGGTTAAACCAAAAATTTAAAAAATGGTTTAAATCGCACAGCCTACCATTACCCTCTCATGGCACGCTATAGTCAGTGGCACAAAAGATTAAATAATGTGGAGAAAATTGGAATCGAAAATAAGCACACTGACGCTCGCTATGAGACTCCTTGAGTGAACAAAACAGTGGCTTACTCTCTCTTCTGGGTCAGCTACATATTGCTATTAACGACAAGTCGAGAGCGACAGAGAGCAAATAACGTTATAAAAGGAATTACGTCAAAATTCAACTTGCGCCACTTCCGCGCCAGGAGAGGCCCCGGGTTTGTTCCCCGAAGTGCGGGGGAAGCGAGGGTGAGGACCGCAGGCGGTGTGCAGGGCGGGGGAGGGCAAGCGTTGTGAGGGAGCAGGGCGGGACAGGGAGAGCGGCGGTGCGAGGGCGAGTGTGAGGGGAGGGTGAGAGCGAGGAGGCGGATGAGAGAGCCCAGGCGTGAGGACGAAGGCCGGGAGGGGCGGGACGGTGGTGAGGGCGGAGGTGAGGGCAGAAGGGCCTGGTTGAGGAGAGGGCGGGGGCCGGAACGCGACAGCGAGGGCGGGGCGAGCGCGCGATGGCTGGGAGCGGAGTCCCAGCTGGGAAGGAAGCGTGGATTCCCATCTCCAACGGTGTGGCCTTGTGCCTGCCATCAGCCATTGCTCCGTGCTGTACAGCGCCTAGACACCCGTCCGCCGGGCGCCTGCAGGATACCCGCTCCCCTGAATTCCAGCTCTTGTCATATTCGTTATGATTCACTTCATGTCGTACCGGCTTATAGGAGCTCAGCGGCATCACACTGATTCGTCACTCCAGTACCTAAGACCGGGAGAATCTAGTTCTTCAGTCTTGACAGTGGAAGGAATTTTCGCGACATATGAAGCAGCTAGGTGAGTTTCAAGTCGTTGTCTGGAGGCAGCATTCCAGAGGCCGACTGTTCTGATCGGTAGTTTTCCATAGGTTTTTTCCTGAACACACCAAGCGAATGCTGGGGAGCGTACTCTAACAAAGGGTCGCGGATCTTTTTGGTCCCCTTTCCTCGCATTATCACCTCTTATTACACACATTTTAACCTTGCCCCCTTTTATACTACTATACCACGTCTGGAGACCCAATCAGGAGCTGGAGTGTTAGAAGTTGGGCCGGCGTTGGGACGATGTCCGGGCTTGGTGGGAGATTAACCTGGTGTGAGAAAACCCCCGTAAAGCTGGGGACGCTTGCTTAGGTTCGGATTTGTCGGATGGTCGCCGTACAAGCGGGAGTGAGATTGGGACGCTCCTTTTGGGAATTTCCCCTCCCTTTTCCTCCGGA